AAAATATTTCTAAAAATAAATAGACTTAAATTTCTATATCAAATAAAATCAACATTATTAAAAGAAATAATATATAATAGTTAAATATTAAATTAATTTCTCAAATATAAAATTATATATATCGAGCGAATATTAAATTTGTAAGGACTATTATAGTTATAAAAATGTAATTAAAATAAAATTTACATATTAAATAAAATAAACACAATTATACTTCAAGTATGTTTATTTTTTACCCGTAAAAAAAGTATGTTTATTTTTTAATGATGTTGATTTTTCTTTTAATTAGAGATTCAAGTATGTTTTTTTATAACAAGGATTTTAATTTGTGTGTGCGCTTTATTTGTATTCTTATACCATTAAATACATTAAAAAAATTCTCATGACCAAAATATTAAAAATTATTCATTAAAATTTTGAAATTAAAATAATTGCATAAACTGACAATCATGGGAGAATTTATTTATTTATTTCCTAAATGATTTAAATTTTTATAAATAACATTTAAAATAACTAAATATTTAGAGAGATACAATTATTATTTTTTATTTTCAAATATTTTACTTTTAAAAATTAAATAAATAATTTTTTATTTTTAGTATAGAGATTCATGTATGTTGTTTTATAACAAAGATTTTAATTTGTGAGTGAACTTTATTTGTATTCCTACACCTTTAAATAAATTAAAAATTCTCTCATGATCAAAATATTAAAAATTATTGTATCAAAAAAATAGTAAGGATTATTAATTAAAATTTTGAAATTAAAATAATTGCAAAAATTGATAATCATCAGGGAATTTATTTATTTATTATCAAATTTATTTTAATTTTTTTAGATAAAATTTTAAAATAATTAAATTTTTAGAGAGAGAAAATTATTTTTGTTTATTTTCAAATATTTTAGTTTCAAAAACTAAAAATTGTAACCTTGTTACTAAAACATAAAACTTATTTTAAATTTAAAAACTCAAATTTTTTCATCCCATATATAATCGTGTTTATTTTATTTAATATATAAATTTTATTCTTATTTCATTAAAATATATTTAGATACATATATAATTTTAAAATGAGTTTCTTCGTTGTAAAATAAATCATTATCATATAAATATAATTGATTAAAATAAAATATATATTGTATTGATAGTGATATGTGAATTAAAATATTTTTTTATTTAAAATTTTTATATCAATATATAATACTCAAAATTTTCTATTTGATGTCAATGAATAGTAATTAAAATATATTTTAAGATAGAAAGTAAAATAATGCATACTTCTTAAATTTGATAGGTAACATTATTTTTTGTCTGTAATAAAAATATTGATTTTGCCTTTCAAATAAAGATTATTTTTGTTTAAAATAAAATAGGTAATATGACATAGTCGCCCATGAGATGGAAAATAAATTTTGTGATAAAATAAATTGTTAATTTTATTAAAATTATAAAATATACTAATTACAAACAAATGTGAATGTTGTCGGTCATTGCACGCTCTAACCGTCTAAAGATCAATTATATGAATGGACATCTTCTATATCTTGATCCCTTGTTTTAAGTCACCAATAAAGATAGTAGATTTTGACATTCTACACATGTTTGAGTATATTAATATGAGAAGCAAGTAAAACATGAACAATAAAGACACTAAAATAAAATCAAGACTTAAAATTCATGGTATAATAGTATCACAGAACATAAAATGGATAAGCTGATATAGATATAATGTTTATACAAATTATATCTTATTAGTATATATACATCTATAATATATTTATATACAGTATATAAATACATTTATATATATTTATCTATTTATAGAAAACTTTAAATTTATTTATGTTTATACCTATTTATATAATAATATATAATTTAAATATATTTGTATTTAATTATATCTATGTTGTTAGATCGAAATAAAATATATTTAAATCATACTAAAATATATAACAAAGCACTTTGTTACTAAAATAATATAACAAAGTTATTTGTAAGTAAAATAATATTTAAAATATTATATATAGGAAATATTAATAAAATTGATTTGTTATATTATTTTTAATAATTATTAATATTTAAACATAATAATTTTTTGAGCTTTAGGTAAATTTTTAATAGACGTAACGATGTTTTCAAAAAATAAAATTTACTTATTTTTTATTTAATTAAGAAATAGTAAAATTTTCTTAAAGTTCTTAAAAATATATATTCTTCTTTAAAAATAAATTTAATATTTATAAATACTAAAAATATTATATTTTAAAGAAAAGTTTAAATTTATTAATAAAAAAATTTATTTTAAAATATAATAGTTTTTTGAATTCTAAGCAAATTCTATTAAAAATATATATGGTTTAATTAATAATTATATTTCATTAATATCTTGAATAGACGTGATAATTTTTGAAATTTAACCAAATGAAGAAATCTTTCAAAATCAAGATTTAAAGTGAAAATACACCCATATAAATTTTTTCAAAATATGAAATTTGCTTATGTTTTTAATTAATTAAAAAATAGTAAAACTTGTTTAAAGTTCAGAGAAAAATGTATTCTTTCTTTAAAAATAAAGTTTAATATTTATGGGGAAGATGGGCAAACATGGACGACCGCCGCGGAAACAGGTGGTCCAAACGCTTCTGACGAGTGTGAGAGTCTTCTCGCTAGCTTCAACATCTCATGGGAAGGGTATCAACGCTTCATTAGATTCAACGACATCCAAAGAAAAAGCTTAAGTAGATCCTGTCTTAAGTTCGATTCCTGAGGAAGAGATAAAGGAACATGAAGTAGCAAAATCAACTCAAGCTCAACCCTGGGTTGATATGATAAGAGGTAACCGTATTCCATCAAATGGTCTGAATATCACATACACACCTTCTTCCTTTGTTAACGGGGAAATTGAAGTCATCATTGAAGAACAAGATATCACATCAGAGATCAAATTCTGGGAGAATGCTCTGATCATGTATGTGATAGACGGTGAGCCGACAATGACAACAATTAAAAAGTTTATGATGAAGTCCTGGGAAAATTTGCAGCACTACCAGAACTATTTTACAATGAGGAAGGATACTTTATCATTAAGATGAAATCAAAAGAGGATAAGGATCTTGTGCTGAGGAAGGGCCCTTATACCATATTCAGACAATCATTGTTCCTCTTGTCGTGGAGACCTATTTTCTCTCTTGACAAAGACGCGATGTGAATAATGCTTATTTGGGTCACCTTTCCCCAACTTCCATTGACTTACTGGGGAGAGAAAAGTATTGGGAAAGTGTTTTGTGCTATTGGAAAACCTATTATGACAAATGAATGTGCCTCTAAGAAATTAAGAATTACATATGCAAGAGTGCTCATTGAGGTGGATATTACAAATGAATTAAAGAATTCTATCTATATCAGGGATCCATAGGGAAGTAGAATCTTACAAAAGGCGGAATATGAATGGAAACCAGCATTCTGCAAGAAATGTAACAAGATGGGTTATAACTATGAAAAATAGAAAGCTGTAAAACCTACTCAGAAGTGGATTGAGAAACCCACGGTGACAGAAGAGAGAAGCAGCATAGACAAGGGTGATAGCAAAGGAAAACAGATAGATGATAGTACAGGTCCCTTGGAAATAAATGAAGATAGGGCTGAAGAAGATTAGAGAATTGTGGCTCCTACTAGAGCATCTGGAAGAACTAGAAATGGAGCAACTGGAAAAGTTGTATTCCTGCCATTTAGGGATACAATTAGAAATGGAAATGAAGGTGTTGGCTATAGCAATGGTTTTGGAATCCTTGGAAAGGAGGAAGACAAAACAGTGGATGCTACATGATTCTCACATGGAATGTGAGGGGCCTCAATAAAAAAGCAAGGCATATTGAGATTAAGGCCCATCTCAATAGTCTACAGTTGTCTTGTATTGCATTATTAGAAACTAAAGTCAAGAGTTACAATGCTGCAAACAACTTTTGGCCATGACTAGTACTGGTTGGATAACTATGACAAGCACCCTAATGGTATGATATGGGTGATGTGGAAGCACAAGGAGGTTTCTGTTAATAGGCACAGTTGTGGGGATCAATACCTACACTGTGAGATGACTGATAACAGAGGCCACAAATTTTGGATAACCTTCATCTATGCTCATAATCCTGCTGCAGACAGAAGAAGATTGTGGATAGAGATTCAGAATATAGCTGGCAACATTCATAATCTATGGGTTGTAGTTGGAGATTTTAACAATGTTCTTACAAGTGCAGACCGAATTGGTGGAAATCCAGTTCCTGGTGCAGAGTTTGAAGACCTGAATTCAATGATGACAGATGCCAAACTCTTTAAACACGACACTCGAGGAAGCTACTTCACCTGGTCAAACAAATAAAGTAATGGTCTTATCTACTCTCGCATACACAGGGCTTTATGTAATCAGGACTGGTTTGTAAAATTTCCTAACTGTGAAATTGATGTATTGAATGCCCATATTTCTGATCATATCCCCCTTAGAGTCAAGATCCATGGCCAAGCGTATAAGGTTTTTAAAAGCCAAAATAGGTTTAGGTTTATGAACAATGTAGTGAACCAATTTGATTTTCTGGAGGTTGTTAAAAAGAGTTGGAGTAAAAGTGAGAAGGGTCAACCAATGTATGTTATGTGGCGCAAATTGAAGAGGCTTCAACAAATTCTTAGGGGTTTAAACAGGAGGACCTTAAATGATATTAATAAGATACAAGATTGTAGAGAGAAGCTAGCTCAATGTCAATAACTGTTAATTAGAGGCCCCTTTAATTCTGTTGTAATATAGGAAGTCAAAACCTGTATTGACAAAATCATTTATGCTACTGAAGAGGAAGAAAAGATTTTGAGGCAAAGATCAAACGCTAACTGGATTCAGTTAGGGGATGCTAATAATGCCTACTTTCATGAACTAGTGAAAGGTATACAAAAACAAAATGCTATACATCACCTAATAGATCAAAATGGTAATTGTTTGACTCAGCATAAAGATATGGAAAAAGAAGTGTTGAGTTTTTACTCAGACTTGGTGGGTACAGCTACTACTAAGTTGAATCACATGGACATTGATGTTATTAGGAAAGGAGCCCAGCTAATTGAAGCTAGCAAGGCCAGTTTGATTAAACCTTTCTCTAAGAAGGAGGTTTGGGATTCCCTAAATAATATAGCTGATGACAAGACCCCAGGGTTAGACGGTTTCTCTGCTAAATTCTTCAAAAGTTCCTGGAATATTGTGAAAAGTGATTTGTTTGCAGCTATCCACGATTTCTATCAGCATAATCATATACTTGCAGCGATCAATTATGCAGTTGTATCTCTTATTCATAAAATCCATGATGTAGAATATATGAAGGACCTTCGACCTATTTCTTGTTGTACCACAATGTATAAGATCCTGTAAAAATTCTTACAAATCGTCTCAGCGACGTAATCAATGAAGTTATTGACATCAGTCAATCTGCTTTTTTGCCTGGAAGGTTTATCCACGACAACATCCTAATGGCTTATGAGCTCTTGAGAGGATATAACCACAAACATATTTCCCTAGGTGTGTTATTCAAATGGATATCCGTAAGGCTTGTGATACGGTGGAATGGGATGCCCTAGCCACTATTATGAAGGAGATGAATTTCCCTAGAAAGTTTGTGGACTGGATCATGAAGTGTGTCTGCACAGTCTCTTATAGGTTTTCTGTAAATGTCCAGTTGATAGAGTTATTGAAAGCAAGAAGAGGTTTAAGGCAGGGAGATCCAATATCTCCTCTGCTTTTTGTAGTCATAATGGAATATCTCCCCAAGACCTTAACCAATCTAACTCATATGCAGAAATTCAACTTTCATCCTCGATGCAAGAAACTCTGCATAACTAATATTAGTTTTGCAGATGATCGCATCTTGTTCTCTAAAGGTGACACCAACTCTGTGAGCACCTTGATGAATATCTTCAAGTCCTTCTCCCAAGCCACGAGTCTGTATGTTCAACCAGCAAAATGTCGAGTTTATTTTGGTGGTGTCCATCATATTATGAAACAAGAAATCCCGAATCTTACTGGTTTTGGTGAAGAGGGCCTGCCTTTTAAATATCCAGGAGTGCCTTTGGCAAGTAGAAACTGTCTATCCACCAATGTCAACCTTTGATTGAGAAAATTACCAAGAGAATTAAACATTGGACATCTCGCCTTTTGAGTTATGCTGGAAGGTGCCAACTGATAAAAAGCGTCATTTTCGCTATTTCTGCTTACTGGCTGCAAGTTCTGCCCCTGCCTCAACAGGTTCTGCAGCATATCGAAGCTATTTGTCGAAGTTATTTGTGGAGCAGCTCTGAAGTGATCAGTAGGAAAGCCCCGATTGCTTGAGAGTTTATTTGTCAACCTAAAGTGGCTGGTGTGTTGAACATTGTACACTTGGATCTAAATAAAGTTTATATCATACTATAAAGTTTATATGTAGTAAACATAGGAATCTAAATAACCATATTAATGATCTTACTTAACTTAGTCGTACGTGGACACTTGGATCTCCGGATCAGTTGTGTATAACTCTTTTTGGTTAATAAAATCATGCTTTTTCTACAAAAAAAAAGTTTAATATTTATTAATAACAAACATTATTTTAAAATATAATTTTTTTTTTATTTCTAAGCAAATTTTATTATTTTTTAGTTAAATAAAATTCTATTATATATATATATATATATATATATATATATATATATATATATATATATATATATATATATATATATATATATATATATATATATATATATATATATATATATATATATATATATATTCAATTTTAATGGATTGATAGTTGATAATAGTCCTTACAAATTTAATATTTACTCAATATATATAATTTTTAATTGGTTTATTTGAAAAATTAATTTAACTATTATACATGTAATATTTATTTTAATAATGTTGATTTATTTGATATAGAAGTTTAAGTCTATTTATTTTTAAAAATACTTTACACTTGAAATTTAAGATATAAATGTTCAATTGTAACCGTTAGATTAAAAATAATAGATGGTTATAATTTAGAGTAGATATTTAAACTTACTATTGAAGTAAGAATATCCATCATTATATATATATATATATATATATATATATATATATATATATATATATATATATATATATATATATATATATATATATATATATATATATATATATATATATATATATATATATATATATATATATATATATATATATATATATATATATATATATATATATATATATATATATATATATATATATATATATATATATATATATATATATATATATATATATATATATATATATATATATATATATATATATATATATATATATATATATATATATATATATACACTTATTGATAAGTTATTTTTTTTAAACTTATTTTACATGTTTTATACACCTTAGAATAAATCAAATTCAATATTCTTTTTTCTACACCAAATATTGTTAGGGATGTCAATTTTCATTCGTTAATAGGATCTCTGTAGGGATTTATTTGTTTGGAGCACTCAAGTTGGAAATTTTTCTCCCGCGAAAAACGGTAATGAAGGGAAAAATTCTCTCGATGATACTTTGGGATGGGGATTGGGAAAGTATCCTCCGCCCCGTGGATTCACCGACTCCGAATATATTATTTAACTTTTATATTTTATATACTATTTAATCTATAATTATATAATTTTAGATGAAAAATATTAATGTATTAGAAAGTAAAGAGTCATTAGTGGATCATTTTAGTTTTATGTTTTATTGTATAATGTATTGTTTCACTATCCAAGTACTAAACCCATGAAAAGTGCACTCAATACATAGAATGTAAGCATCATCTCTATTTTTCATTTATCTTTGTCTCCTCTATTCTGTTGGAAATAATTTATATTTTAGGAATGTCTTATTGACTAAGTTTGTTAGAGGGTATTTTAGTATTTTATTATACCCTCATTTTATATATAAATAGCCTAGTAGTAGATCAATGTAATTATTTATTACTCCTTATTTTGTAGCCGTCATTCAATATATTCTTTTTGTCTTTCATCTCTCATTTGTGCACCAACAATTGGTATATAGAGCTCCGGTTCGAAATCCACGGAGAAACACGGGAAACACGAGTGAACAGTGAGGTGTTGTGTGATTGAGAATCACATTTTTCCGATTCTGTGGGATTTGGAAAACACTATGTTTTAGTGAGTTTTTGAGTGAATTGCACAAGGTTGAAGATGAACGGAAACTGCGATATCAATTCCAAGCTTTTAGTGTTTGATGGTAAAAACTGAAATCGTTGGAAGATCCAGATGCATGTGTTGTTTGGTTCTCAAGATGTGTTAGATCTTTTAACCGATGATTGTGCTCTGTTAGCAGGAGACACGACAGAAGCACAAAAGATAACACAAAAGGCGATAATGAAGAAAGATCAGAAAGCCTTGTTCTACATCCATCAGTGTATGGATGTGGATGTGTTTGAGAAGATTGCTAACTCTGAAACATAAAAGGCTGCATAGGACACACTGGTGGATGTTATGGTGGTGACACATCGGTGAAGAAGGTGAAGTTTCAGTCTCTCAGAAAGAAATATGAGAATCTCAATATGAAGGACAACGAGAAGGTTTCTGAGTACATTTCTAGATCGATTATGATCACTAATGAGATGAAAGCTTGTGGAGAAACTCTTTCTGAACAAGTAATCATAGAGAAGGTATTGAGATCTTTAACTTCTCAGTTTGATTACATTGTGGTAGCAATTGAATATTCCAAAGATCTGAGCATCATGAGAGTTGAAGAGTTGCAAAGTAGTCTAGAGGCGCATGAGTTGCGTATGATTGAGAGAACTTCTGAGAGGGAAGTAAAGCAACAAGCTCTGAAAGTAACTTCTGGTAAGAAGTATCAAAAGAAAACTTTGTTATAAGCCAAGAAGAAAACTAATGATGGTCAAAGGTCAGAAGCTTCAAACTCTGATAGGCAAAAGAATGTCCAGAAGGGAAATGAGAAGTCTGACAAGAAGAATGTTCAATGTTAGTGTTGCAAGAACTTTGGTCACTCTGCTAAAGATTGTTGTCCAAACAAAGAAAGGAAGTCAGAAGAAGCAAATATATCCAGAGAAGAGTCTGATGATGAACCTGTGCTATTTATGGCTTATGAATCTGATGAGGAACCAGTGAAATTGTCATTTTTTGATTCTGAAGGGGAAGAAGATGACTCTGAATATTATAACTCTGAAGGAGTGTTTGAATATGAGTCAGAATCAGAAGATGATGCTGAAGATTCTCAAGATGAGTCAGAAGATAATGGCTATGGAAACTCCGAAGGTGATTGTTCACCTTGTTTTCTGGTAAACAACCGCTGATCTTCCAAAAAGGGTAACTTTTTGGTTACTCGCAGGATCGATCAATTTGATCCTAGGACATATGCTAATTTTTGATGTTGTTTGGACATAAACGTTAATGTGGGTGAAGAACGCACATTCGACTGGGAAAGGGATGAGTTTGAGTGTAGAAAGTAAATAGAAAGAAGGGGTTGAGGAGAGGTTAGGTGCAGGAATTTGGGTAAAAGTGCAGATAAAGTGAAAACAAGATAAAGAGGCAAGAAATGTAGAGAGAGAAATAAGACTTTGATTGTAAAATATGGTGTTTCAAACGTACATTTTTCAGTATTTTTTCTCACGCAGCGGGTACTTGAATAGTATTGAATAATTTGTACAATTAGTTGAACACCCGGAAAACTACATAAACTTCCTATATTTATACTAAAAATAGGTAAGCGTCGAGGATTTTCCTTGCTCCAGGATGAATACAAGTGTCTTTTGCATGCGCTTCGACCCCTTTTTTCACGCCACGTTACTTTCCTCAACTGCCAAGCGAACTGCTTTTCCCACCTTTCTCCATATTCAAAATCTTCTGGGGCATATACAAAGTTTCCTTCTGGTTGAAGACCTTGGAGTCCCTTCAGTCGAAGGGATTGAGAACCTTCTGGTCGAAGACTCATTTTAATTTAGAATTTCTCTAAGTATTTTTACCTTCTGGTCGAAGGCTCATTTTAACTTAGAATTTCTCTAAGTACTTTTCTACTTTGTTGAATCTTTTCCAACTTAGACTTGTTCAATCTATTTTTGTCCCATAAGGCCAAGTTATTGTAGGTGTCGAATTTATGAGCTAATAAATTGCCCCCCAACAATATCAGTTTCGATGCAAGGAGAGATGATTATTCTTTGAGATTCCTATTCGACATCTGTCTTTCTTTTTTACCACAGAAATCGCTTGTGTGCTTTTCGCCTTCTACCAACCCCTGCTGGTATTCAGAGTCATCATTACCTTTTTCCTAACACGTCGCTGTCAATCAGCCGTTACCACGCTGCCATGATGGCCATTATCCCTACAACCAAG